TAGTAATAATTGTGACAGTTTGTTGTGTTCAACAATTTTTTTGCCATATTTAAAATATTTAAATTTTAGTAACTTACAGTTTTTTCTTTTTTTCATCCTTTCCTTTTTTTCTTTTTTTTCTTTTTTTTTTCATCCTTTCCTTTTTCTTTTCTTTTCTTTTTAATTTTGTGTGATTGGTCAAATTTACTTTTTTTTTGAACGCGTAAAATTTTTTTGATATAAAAGAGGAAGAAACTTAATTTTTTTCAAACTCAACTTTAATATCAAATTTGAAAATTTAATTACATAATTTTCGAATAACTGCATGAATAAAAAGACTCTTAGCTTGCTAGTACCACTAGTCGCCAGCACTGCCACTTCTCAGGAATCCTTCTTGTCAGTGTATGTACATTATAAAGTATCAAAAGTTTTTAATTTTTTAATCATTCTGTAGATTAAGTAAAAGGGGTGTTGGAAGTATTACTAAAGACTGCTCTGTTTTATCAAAGTGTGCTGCCCACCATGTCTCTGAATATGATAGGTAGGATTGAATTTAAATTTGATCAGTGTAGAAAATTTAATGCTATTATCTTAGTGACTGGACATGCTATAATCGAAGGAAAAACGAATGTTCAACTCCTCTAGTGTACAGCGTTGGACCTATCGAACGCGAAGATGATGACTACCTTCTCTCAAAAGTATACTGTTGGGATGGAAATATATTTAACTGCCCTTCATTTAACAATGAAAGCCCTGTTGACCCCGAACCACCAAAACAAAAATTGCACTGCTATCAAGGAAGCAGTACGTACAGGGAATATATTTACCAATACGAAGTGTACACAGAAACTGGAGGACCAAAAAGCTGCTTTACTGGAGAACTTGACGGAGTCGAATACTATTTTGATCTTCCCACTGCAGATTGTGGTTCCTTTCTAGACTCCCCAAATACTCCTTGGGTATGATATTATACTTTATATTGCCATTCTGAAGCATAAAAACATTTCAATATGTAGAAAAAAACTCATTGCTGTGATACAAATGGCTGTAATGTACCAAGAAAGTTTATAAGCTGCTATAGTGGCAGTAGCTCTAATCCAGAACAAATGGAAAAAGTCGAAGCTGCAACAGATGGGCACAGTTGTTTTGTTGGAAAAAAGGATAACGTATTTACATTTGCCAACATTGCATCCGAAGAATGTGATGCATTAGCTTCAAAATCTGGTCAAGTAAGAAAATAATATTAATTTTTTGGCATCTAATATAAAAAAGTATGAGGCCGTAACTTGCTGTAAAAATGATTTTTGCAATAATCCAGCTGATTACAAACCTCCAGCAGAGGAACCTATGCCACAAAATTACACTTTAACTTGTTGGGAAGGGTCTACTGAGGGTGCATCACTAGTAACTGCAAATTCTGACAAATTATTAAGCTGTATATCGGGAAAGACTGCGGATTCATGGATTTACCATTATCTTCCAACTGTAGAATGTTCAAAATATTTAGCAGGCGGAGAATATTCTAAAGTAAAAATAAGAGCCATTTAAATTTTTTAATAACAAACTTTTTTTTTGAAGGATTTCACAGATGTAAGTTGCTGTAACACCGATGGTTGCAACAAACCTACTGAAGTTGTAGCACCATTACCTGAATATAAAAGTGTCACGTGTTTTGATGGAAATACAGATAACATGGAAGGTATCGTAGAAGTTGTTGCTTCTCCTGATATGTATGGTGAGGAAGTGCAGTGTATGACTTATTCCACTCCTACTATCGCCTACTTTTTTGCTGTCTCAAAATCAACCTGCGAATATTATCAAAGCTTAAATTACTCATACGTATGAATTTATTTAGTTTAAATTAAATTTAAAAAATTCATCTTTTTTCCAAAATTCTCACTTCATAGTATTCTATAAGCTGTTGGTAAGAAGTTTAATAATTTACAATAATTAAATTTTTTATTAATAACTTAAATTGCAGTGACACAGACAGATGCAACGACCCAAGTGTTTATTTACCACCAAAACCAAGTACCATCAGTTGTTATAGTGGTAGTACTAGCGATAGAAATATCTCTTCAATTGGAAAAGAAACCTTCAATAAGGAATACTACGACATCAGTTGTTTTAAAGGTACTTACCAAAGAACCACATACTTCAGTGCAATCGCAAGTTCTTCTTGTCCTGATTACCAGAACTACTATGTAAGTTATACTTATGATTTTTTTTTATTAATCCAACGTCAGGGTTATACAAATGTTACATGCTGCGATACTGATGATTGCAATAAACCAGTTGAAAGTGATTTTATTGTTAGTGATCAATTTTCTTGCTACTTCGGCTCCACAAGGAATCTCACAAATGTTTACAAATCAGTATATGATGCTTTTCCGTATGAAAATACCTGTTTTAGTGGAACTCGCAACGGAGTAGTTGAATTTTTCGGAACAGACGCGAGTACTTGTTATTATTACCAAAACAGTGATTATGTAAGTTTATATGGAAGTCCTAAACATTCTTCGAAAATATACAATAATTTTTGAATATTAATACAAATTTCATTTTAAAAAAAGATTTACCAAAACGTTACTTGCTGCACTACTACAGAATGTAATAAACCTTTACCAGCTAGTGAATATCCTCCTCCACCAAAAACTCTCAAATGTTATAAAGGAGACAGTGGAAATTTAGATTACATTTACGAAGAAGAACTACCTGAATTAGACTGGAATGGTGAAAAAAATACCTGTGTTACGGAAACTAATACAAATGGAAAAACTTACTTTTTTGGTGCCCCAGGTAACTTTAATATTACGTTATTTCATTTTTATTCCTTGGTAGCGAGTGTATGCCAATATGAAAGTCAATATGTTAGCTACGATAATCAAAACTATACATGCTGTAATACTGATCTCTGCAATAAACCAGTTGGGCCATATCCGGGACCAACCAATAATATTACCTGTTTTTCAGGTTATTCAGGATATGGATTCGATTATGTGAGCGAGTATACTATATCGTCTTACAACAATGAAACTTTGGCTTGCTTTTCAGGGACCTATTATGATTACACATATTATACTGCCACTACAGCTACAGTAATTAATAATCTTTTGATAAATTTATAAACTAAATTTTTTTTTCTTACAGGAATGTGGAAATTATGGATGGGTAATTAAGTTTTTTTTTTTTATATAATATTCAAAAAAAAAAATTATTCAGTATGGCTATTCAAATGTACAATGTTGTTACTCTGACAATTGTAATGCAGCTAATTCTACTACACCTACTGCTACTCCAACAAGCACTTTCCCACAAGAAACTAACTGGAATAATACTAACTGGAATAATACCAACTGGAATGATACCTACTGGAATAACACTGAAAACACTGCAAGTATTGCATGCTACAGTGGCAGTAGTAGTGACTTATTTGATGTCACTGTAAGTTACCATGATTACTACTCTGATAATCCAAAGAGCTGCTTTATCGGAACAATTGGTGATGAAACGTACTTTGGGGTAAAGGACAGTAGCAGCTGTTATGGTATGCTCAACGGAACAATGGAAACAATGTACAAAAATGTCACCTGTTGTGATTCTGATTACTGTAATTATCCAGTCGGTGATTATACTTCTGAACCAACCAGTTCATTAACATGTTACTCCTCCAATGATGATGGATATCTCAATAGCGATAATAAATCAAAAACCAAATATAATTCAGAAAATCTTCAATACAATTGTGCGAAGGGATACAATGCATTGTACGGAGGTTGGATTTATGACACACTTGATTCGGAGACCTGCCAATACTACTTGTCCTATGTATTAATTCTTTATCTCGTTGCATTAATTTAAACTTGTTAAAAGGTTTTTGACGAAGGTACTGGGTCATGCTGTGATAGTGATTTCTGTAATCAAGCAGAAACGCAACCAATCCTTCAATCCTGTAACATGGGTTCTAGTGATGCGCCAGAGAACGTTTATGCTTATCAAGTAACAGAAGGCTATTCTTGCTATATATATTCATATTCCGAGGTCTACTATTTTGGAATTTTGGATACTTCAAGTTGTGCTAATTATTCAGAAGGAGGAATATATAGGGAGGTAAAACAATAAATTTGTATTCGGAAAACAATAAGATTAATCTTTTGAAAAAATAGTGGTACCCAGACTTCAAATGCTGTACTAGCGAGGATGGCTCCCCTTGCAACAATCCATAAGAGTAGAGATGTTTTTTAGCTCTGTTTTAATGAATATAGATGTAGAATATTTTTTTTCTTTATAACTTTTTAATTTTTGTGTAATGTAGGATGTAATAACCATTCAAATACATTACTGCATTTTACATTAAATTTAAAATTTTTTTGGTACAAAATATTAAGTAGCACGGATAAGTAGTAACTACAATTTTTTTGATGTTCTTTTCTTTCTTTTTTTGCTTTATAACTTAAATTTCAGCCCAAATTCTTTTTTTTTTGTTTGGCAACTTTATTTTCAGCCCAATTCTTTTTGTTCTGTTCAGTCAGATCAAAGAAAGGCAATATAAATAGGATTCCCCAACTTGATGACTATTTGTTTGAATAACAACTTCTGAGGACAAAACTTATAGTAGGGGGATAATGTTAAGGTCTCTGGGTATATGTCTTTGGATCCTAATTGATTTTGAGTTATATCAAGCTAATCCAGGCGGATCGTCTGCTATTTGTTTAAATACAGAATAATTACTTTAGTCATGATTATTAAAAATAACTTTTATTTTTATACTAATTATCTAAGGTAATTTAATATATATTTAGTTTTATTAATTAGTTATTCTAGGTATTTGGAAAAATAAAGTCATAATTATTATTAATCACCTTTTATTATAATAATAATTATCTAAGGTATCATGATAGAATAGAATCCAGTATGGCTTCAAGGCCAAACTTTTTAAGGAACAACGAAAGGTGAATCAAGTCATTCATATCATTGTTATAGGATTTGTTAAGATTACATCTTACAAAACAGAATAACAAGGAGGATTGGCGCAATTGGTAGCGCGTTGGATTCCAAATCCAGAGGCTGGGAGTTCGAGTCTCTCATTCTCCTCACTTTTTTTAAACTTTAAACTGATAATTTTAAAAATTTTGGTAAAACTTCCCCATCCGGGAATTGAACCCGGGTCTTGTCGGTGAAAGCGACATATCCTAACCACTGGACTAATGAGGAGATTTGTTTGTTAAGGTTTCGGAGTTTCTGACTTTAAATACTATTTGATTTTGTACTTGTTTTAATCTAATCACAGTGGATCCAAGGAATAGTGTCTGTTATTTGTTTAAATACAGAACAAATTAGTTTTTTTAAATCTTAAGTCATAGTTATTATTAATCATTTTTTATTTTTATGATAATTACCTAAGGTATTTTAATATATATTTAATTTTAGTATTATTTTGTTATTCTAGGTATTTGGACAAATAAAGTCATAATTATTTTTAATCACTTTTTATTATTATGATATTTATCTGAGGTTACATATTACCTAACCAATGTAAAATTGTAAATTGTTAATTTAATTTTCAATTTTTTTTGGATCAGATTATATCGCCATAGTTAAATAATTGTAAATTAATGAGTATCTTTTCAATCTCGAATACCAAGAATCTAACTAATAAAAGTGTTTATTAAGACAATCAAATTTGAATTTCATTTGAAAAATTTATCTTCACTTAAAAGATCACATAATTTTTAAATGGTTTTTGGGTTTTTTAACTCATGCAAATTTATAAACCATTAATTTTTAATCATCAGCAATAGGGTTATTTTATTGATGTTAATAGTGGCGTTGTTATTGTATAACAATTCTTTAGGACTTGAAACCTATGGTTACCTTTGTTAACTTTCCCATTATTTTACTGCAGCGGTTCTTTTCGTAACCCTTTTCCACACTGGTATTAAATTCAAAAATTTTTTGTATGTAGATATTTTGGAAAGGAATAAATAAAATTTTTTTGGAATGCTGATTATATTTATCTTAAAAAAAAAAAAATTATGTAATTACTATCTTTATTTGAATTAGCAGAATTTTTTGAATGATCTTTAACATTATTTGCTTTTTCTAACCTACTAGGCTTTCATTTACTTTAGTGGTGACTGCTTTACCTTCAGTTACTGATTGAGCTTTATCGTTTGCCTGGTAAGATTTATCAGAAAAGAAATTTCTTGCTTTGTCGGTAGCATAATCAGTTTTATCTTTGGTAACAGAGATACCTTCATCTAATTTATCACCAGCGGTTTAGGCAAGAGACTAGAGTCTTTTTAACTTTGTTGTAAGCAACACTTGCTGTTTGAGAGATTTGTTCAGTAACTGTTTGATCGAATTTTGTCATTATTTTATTATTTTTTTTTTTTAATTAATTAATGTTTTTTTTTATATTAAAAAAATAATAGTTAATATTTTTTCCTTCTTATAAAAAAATTATCCTCCATTGTATAAAATGGCACCAATTAAATAAATATTAAATGTATCCAATTTTATTTGTACTAATAAATGAATCCTTTCTTTTGAATTAGGTCAAAAAAAATGGAAACACTATAGAAACAAAGGCTACTTTTAACATACTTTTAACCTTTGTAAGGTTGAAATTCAGATTAAGAATGAATAGTGTTACAATTGTGCAAAAATAAGAAGCAATAGATACTATACGTTCATGTCAGAGATGTAAGTGTACTTCTGCTTCATTATTTAACAATAAAAAGAGTAATGTTCAAAACGATGGAAATAGCATAAAAACTTGAAAATCCGTAACTTTACAAATCTTGTATATTTGTTGAGGATAGTTGCATTATGGTAAATATTCAAGTTTGTTGTATCATTAAGTCTTTAAAATGTAATTTTGCAATTTGATTGCTAAAATAACCCAATACCTCTATGCATCCCAAGAGCGCGAAGAAGACAAAAACCGTGCGAATGAATATTTTCTTAACAATTTTTTTTTTTGGAAATTTTTTATACCTTTCATAAACAATCAAAGAATAAAAAAGGAAAAATTTTTTCATTCAAAACCTGTAAAATTCAGGAAAATTTTTGATATTTTAAATATGTCTAAAAATTTAAAATTGTGAAAAGGATTCAAAAGATGTCAAAAGGTTCAAGGAAATTTCAATTAATGCCTTACTACGAAGATGGATTTAAATAAAATTAATCTCCGATTTTTGGTTACCTTTAATTTGTTAGATAACACCTAAACGATTGATGATAATTAAAAAATTAAATAAAACCTTCCAAATTTTGAAAAAAAAAAACTAAAAACAAGTTTTGCTTCATTTTTTTTTTTTTAAAAAAAGAGAAAATTCATTGTTTGTTAAAATAAAATAATATGTTTGATAAAAATGCTTTCCAAAAATAGATATCATTTGTTAAATTTTTTACACCACAATTTAAGTTGAAGGACGTAATTAACAAAAAAAAAAAAAAAAAAGAAACAATTTTATTTATTTTTAATTTTTTTATTTGTTTTATTTTTATTTTTTTTTCTTATTTAATAATCCTGTATAGTCTGATTTCATAATATCTTCAACTGAAACGTGATTTTTTTTTTGTTAATTTCAACATGAACTCTGGAGGGTTAACCCGAAGAATTAAAGGTGGTAACAGAAGGTATTTAAAATTTTTTTTTGTAGTTTTTTTTTTGGAAAATATTTATTTTGTTTTTTCTTAATAACTTTTTCATTCAAAAAAAAATTATTTTTCATTGGAATATTTAAATGATTTAAATTTTATTTTAAAAAGAGCAACTATAAACAAACTTTTAAAATCAAAAACAGTGGCATTTTTCCCTGGTATGTAAGATCTTTTTTTAAACATTTTTTGTTAATTTAAAAACAAAAAAATTAGGCATCTGCCTTTTAATTAATGCAATGACTGGTCCAGCCATTCCATTTACTGTATAATATTTTATTATTTTAAAAAACAAAAAAAAAGGAAACTTATTTTTTTTCTTTATTCCAGGCCCAATTATTTCAAAGTGGAGGCTATGTTCCAACTTTATTACTTTTTTTATTATTTGCAATACTTTCAACTTTTTGTTGCCTTTTTATTGTTGAAGCAATGCAGGCTATTCCTGGAAATAAACATTTTCAAGGAACTGTTGAATTTGCGACTTTAATAAATTTCTATTTTGGGTATATCATTAAACACGAATTTAAAATTTAAATAGAATAAAACATATTTAAAATTTCTTTTAATTTTTTATGTAAATTCTAGGGATACAGCACATTTGATAGGGCAAATTTGCCTCTACGGAGCTGTACAATCTAACGCTGTACAATCTATTGCATTGAGTGCACAGGTAATATTTTATAAAAACTTGCTAAAAAAAATTCGAATAAATAAAAAACCACAAGACCTTTGATAATATTATTTTACTGATATTTAAAAAAACTTGTGGTTTGAGTTTTACGCAGGGTTTCCTGTGTGTTAGTAGTCCTTCAACCCTACCAAGTCCCTTTGGAGAAACTTTAATGATTTTTACTTCCGGTTTTTTACTTGTTTTAGTAATTTCTATTCCACTAGGTTTTTTAAATTTGGATGATAACATCGGAATTCAAATTGGTACAAAGGATAAACTTCAAAAAAAAAAAATTAATTCAACTTAATTTCATTATAGGTGCATTTATATTAACAGTTTTAATGATGCTTCAATGGGTTATAGGTTCAATTTTAGTCAGAAGCGAATCAATTTCGAGTTTAACATTACAAGCATTAGAAAATAATTCAACATATTCAGAAACATTTAATGATGGTCAACTAGATGTGGTAGGAAAGGATTTCCTTGGGTTAACCGGAAATATTATGCTTTCATTAGCATTCACTTTTGTTGTTCCTAGCTGGGTTAATCTGAAAAAAAAAGATGTAAATACACAAGGTGCTTTATGGGCTAGTAGTGGAATTTCAATAATCCTGTACATTATGATCGGAATATTTCGTAAATTTTTTTAAGTTTTTAAATTTATTTTTTTATTGACAATTTTTTTTAAAAAAAGCCGCATTAGCTTATAATTTCACTTCAAAAAACAATAACATGATTACACCAATTTCTTTGTATGGAGTTCCAGTTATATTATCTAAAATCACTACATATGCTTTTCCTATTATTATGCTACTGCCTAGTAAAAATTTTACAACTCTTTCTTTTTTGACATCGGTTGACTTTTTTCCTTTAATAGGTATTCCTGTGTCGTTTTTGGTGACCCAAAATAATTTGGTTCAAAATGAGTTGACAAGTAAACGAATGGGATATTTTTTAAGTTTCATTTTACCTTGGTTTGTAAGTATACCATTTATATCCGGAACTCTATTAGGAAGCTTTATTAATTGGTGTGGAGTAATTTTTGTTTCTTCAGCCAACTTTATCATTCCTATTCTTATTTTTTTAAGGTGCTTAGTATTTAGGTATGTTTTTTTTTTTTGTTTTTTTTTTAAAAGTTTTTTTTTAGAAAAAAGTATAATTCTGATAGGACTACACTTTCATCAAAACAAAGAAAATTATTAAAATTAATTCATATTAGTTCAAAAACCATTAGGCAATTTGTTGACTTGAGTGCATTTCCAGTAAAAAAAAATGCACCTGAAGTTAAAGCCTCTGTAGACGAAGGAGAACATCGTTCTAATGAAAGCAGTGTAGGTGCTGCCTTATCTGACGATGATGGTATTGAATTTACCAAAGAGGAAAGAAACGAAATTGGAAGTTTAAATTTGATGGGTGAAAATGTAGGAAAACCACCACAATTTTCTACAAATTCAGGATTTTTAAGAAAGTTGACAGAATTGAAACGATCTCCCGTTAAACGATCAGAGAGTCAACATCACTTAACCTCCCGCACAACTAGTGAGGAGGAACTTGATTTGGCATCTGTTGATGACCTAGAAATCGATAAACTGTTAGAGGTAAATTTATTCTTATATAATTTTCGTTTATATATTATTTCTTATTAGGATGATGTTCCTGATCCTGAAGAAGAAGACAGAATTATACATCGTCAAAAAACTCAAAAAAAATTAGCAGAGAAACAATTGGAGGAAGGAGACGGCAGTCAATCCAAGTCTTCATTTGCATTTTCGACGTTAATGCGTGATAAAAACAGTGACATTGGAGGAAGCAAGACTAGTCTCATTTCCGTACCAGACGACATTGAATTACACCAGACAAATTTAACCAAACCAGAAAC